CCCCTTGCACCGGGGGCATCTCTGCCCCGTCTGCGCCGTACGTGCCGCGCCGCACAAAGTTCACATGGCCCCCGTGCCACGGAGCGAAGGGGCTGCCTGCGGGGGGAGGATGCTCGGCTCGGGGGAGGGATGCGATGAACTCCTCAGCAGCCGCGGGCGAGCGCGGCGGGGCCGGGCAGGGGTGGTGGGGGGCGATGCCCGCCGCTTTTTATTGCGGCGGTGCCGACCCCGCACCGCGCCCCCAACCCCTGCAAAGCCTCCAAGTGTCTGAGGCCTCCGGGATCAGGGTTTCAGAGCGGCTTCTCTGCCGGCGAAAGGGCGAGGGGCAACTCCGCCGGGGAACGCCGAGCCAACCCGCCTTTCCCTCCTTACTTTTGCGGCGTGTCCCCCCTTCTCGCCCCCATCCCCGGCTCCCTCGTCCCCGCGCAAGCCGGGCTGCTCGGCGCTGCGCCCGCCGGCTGCCGCCCGCCCGCTGGCCCCAGCCAGCACAAAGCTCCCCGGCCTACCCTCCCGGCCCCGCCGCGCCGGAGCCCCGCCGCCCCCGCGCCCGGCCGGACAGCGGCGGAGGGCAGCGGGGGCACGGCCTGGGCAGCGGAGCAGGGCAGGGCAGCCTCGCTCAGCGCCGCCGACATCGCCGCCTGGGCTGCGGGGAAGCGCCGCTGCCGCCGCACCGACCCGACCCGACCCGACCCGGCGGGCTCGGGCGGTCACGGCGGGGGCCGCGTTCATCCTCAGCATTGTTTGCGGGAGGCTGGACCGGCGCCGCCGCCGGAGCTCCCGCCCGCCCCCCCCCCCCCGCGCTCCGGCTGCGGGAGCGGCAGCGGGGCGGCGGCGAGGGCGGGCGCGGTGCAGTGATCGGGGCTGCCACTGGGGTCAGGGAGCAGGCACCAGGAAACACGGCGGCCACGGCGCTGCTCGCACACACACACACTCACACACACACAGAGACACGCACGGCTCCTCCCGCTGCCTCGCACTTCACCCCCCCGGGCAGGGAGGGAGGGAGCGAGCGAGCGCTGCTGCATTTCCCCAGTGCCGCACAGGCTCCCCACGCTGGAGCACGGCTCTCGCTGCCGGGGTCACAGAGCCGGAGCCCCCCGGGACCCCCTCCCCGCCAAGGGGCAGCGCCCCGCTCGCTCGCCCAGACACGGCCGGCCCCGCATCGCCGAGCGGCTCGTCCGCTGCCCACCGAGATGACAAAACAAATAAGTAATAACCGCAACAATTAAAAACCCCCAAATCCTCGGAATAGGTTTTCGCATCTTCCGCCGCACCTTTCGTCGCCGGGTGTTGATGCGGTGCCCTGCTCCTTTGTAGGTAGGCTCACCTCAGCCACCAGAAACACCAGGGTTCGCCTTTGAGGCCGAGCATTGTCTCAGGGCAACTGGGGCTTTCCTATGGAAAAATAAAATCAGGGATGTGGCTGTTGTAATTTTTTCCCCCTTTTTTTCTTCCCCTTTCCACCCCCGCCAAAATCACAGCAATTGTATCAACAGCCACAACAGTAACAAAGTAAAGATTTGACGGGTTTGTTCTTTTACTTTCAAGACAGAAGATGGAAAGGGCAGACTTCCAAAAATATATTACAACGAGGAGAAAGAACGACAGAAAGAGAGACAGAGACAGAAAGAGAGCAAGCCCAAATATTTTGGAATAGTTGAGCATAGACATTATTGATAGAAAATAAATAGCAGGCCTCTAATAGGGAGTAAGTGACCTATATATTTTAAATAAGTAATTTTGACTCTAGCCAACGTTCAGATGTGCATGGCAAGCAGGCAGGTTTTTCTTTGTTGCTGAAAGCCATGAGAAGGGTCTTCTGTATTGCCAGGCAGAAATCCACTGGGATGCATTGTCCTGTTTAGAAACATGGCAAATTAAGAAAAATCAACCTGAAAAAGACTAAATGGCATAAGACTTTTTTCCCAAATTTACCCTTTCACTCTGTTATTTTTTTTACAGTTGTCATTATAACTTTTGAAAGAAGTGAGCACCGTGAACCACCACAGGAAAATTCCTGTTTCCTGACCAAATCAAAGCAACACTTCGGGGAAACTTTTCCTGGAACAGAGTCTGAGGCCGTAGCTGCACACGTATTTTTAGCTGACTTACTGCGACCCAGCTGTAAAGCCAGCAATCCAGCATCCCACCTGTGTCCCTGCCCTCTGGTGAGAACAGGGAAACTGATGCACTCAGCACCAGGGAAAACCTTCTGCCCTGCTGTGGGTCAGCCTCCTCGCCCAGTCCACTCACAAATCCTCCTGCTGGGACCAGACAGGGAGAGAAGTGAGCAGCTGAGGGCAGAAAGAGAACAGGAGAGCTTTCCTGGTCCCAGGAACACAGAGGGAGAGGTGACAGGGTCACCTCTCCCTCTGAGCCTCCTGTATCCCTTCTCCACGCTCACAGCAGAAGGACTTCTTCTGCTTTGTCTGGAGCCCCTTGCACTACAAAAAGGAGCTCCTAGCACACAGAAACAGGGAAGAAGCCTGGGTAAGGGATTAGGAAGCTCACAGACCTTCTCTCTGGTAGCTGGTGGGAGATCAGACATGTCCCTGGCACTGAGGTGAGCATTTACCTGCCTCGCTAGTCCTTACACATAGCAAGCCCTGTGGCCCCCAAATTCCTGGTATTTGGGTTTTGCTGGTATGAATCCAGAGTGGGACCTGCTTCTAAGGTCACACCTTTTTCACAATAATGCTGCCCAGCAACAACAGCAAGCTGTAACACAGTCATCAGGAGCACTGTTGTTCATACATGACTTGAAAAACTCTGAAACATTTTCTGCTAAGGGCACACCACAGAACTTCTCCCTTTTACAAACTGCCTGTTTTCAGTATGCTTTCCAAAGAGGTACTCACCTTAGAAACATGCTGGCCCCAGAGCTGCTAAAAGAAGGAAAAAATATTTTACTTAAACTGATTGAAGGGTTTTCTGAGGGAAGGAGTTGGACCTTGCTGCCTTTCTTCACTAATTCACAAGAGTAGCATCGAAATATAAAAATAAAAATATCTATATTACGGCTGTATTTGTATATATGTATTTGTTAACACACACTTGACAAGAGGATTTCAGAGATAAATTCAGAAACCTAAATAGTAAATGAGATGTCTGTTTTGTGTGTCACAGGAGTGATTTTTCTAGCTGGGTGAAATTCAAAACAGTAAAGAAACAGCTTTTCTTTACCTTAATACCTCCTATTAGTGATGGTGAAACAACAAGTTTCTGTTGTACATGAAACTTTAGTCATGTTCAGAGTTGGCACTAGACTTTGTTTTTTCACGTGTACAAATCCAAAGTGATTACCATCAAATGCACAGGTTCAGGAGATGCATGTTAAAAATTACAAAACGCTATAGTATCCAGAAATGCACACCCATTCTTCACCATCTATTATGTCAGCTTTAATACATTTCATAGGTATCACTGCCTCCAGTTTCTGCCAAGCACAGGACAGAGCTAACAGCTTATGAGACACACACAGGGTGGTTCAGACACCCTGAACTAGACACCTACCTAATTTTGCTCTTTACTTCAGGAAAAAAAAATTTCCTAAGTATCTGTAAAGCACTACAAGAAAGTATAATTTCAAGCCCACCTCTGAGCACTCATTCCTTAAATAATCAGATTTTTCGAGAGATCTTTTACACAGAAAGGAATTCAAACCAAACCAACCCACCCTTTCAAACACACACAAACCACACGTGAAGAACAAATTCAGTTTTTAAAAAGGCTCCTTCCACAAGGGCAGAAGGGCTTTTGAGGCAGACCCACAGCAGTGACATGAATGTTTGTGCTGGCAAAAAAAGCAGTGCAGGAGCAAGGCTGGCACAGCATGTGCTGCACCTCCTGAAAGAGCCAGGCCAGTGTTTCACACTATTTTTCCTTTGGACACAGTACCAGAGGGGTTTGGGTTGTTTGTTTACATTTCCTGGAGATTTTTTTTTAGCCATTTTAAGACCAGAGCACTGAGGATTCTCATTTGCACTGCAGACAATTCAGTTTTGGCCTTCAGAGACTAGGACATGCTGGTACTGTACTAGACAATGCATATTTTAACTTCCTAACATATTTTAATTTTCCTGACATTTTAAGAAAGTAGAGTTTGGTCCAGTGGATGGCCACTGGTAGCAATCTTCACCAAAAGTCACTGGATTCACCACAGGTCAGCACAGACCAGTGCAGTTCTGCCAAAAACTGCATCTTAACAGGTTCGTTCCCCCCATTAAAGCAGAAATTCTTCCCTGACTGTGGAACAGAAGATAACAGAAGAAAATGCATTAGTTTGGGCTGCATGCCCCACTGAGCCCCACAACGTTCCAAATTTTGCTGGATGTGTTTGGATAGATTTAAAGTTCTCCCTTGCTCTGTTCTTTCACCTGCAGGCCATAAGTCACAGAGCATTTGGTGTGCATGCTGGCCAGTGACATGAAACCAACATAAAAACAGAGTATTTCTTGCAAACAACAAACAAACAGAAAAAAAAATCCAAAACAACAGGATTCCAATTTTTCAAGTTGGGTTTTTTAGCTCTTAGGGCTTCTTAACAGAATTGTAAGCTGGAACTAGCAGCTAATTGAATCATAAAAGTTGAAAAACCCCCCAGACCTCATGGCTTTTGATTTTCATAATCTGTCCCTTCATGAATTTTTATCTGTCTTTTTCCCCTCACAAACAGGCCTATAAACTGTTCAATACTCCAGCAAACACTTCAGAAAGAACCCACAGCCTTTCCACAGAAGCACAGCAGCTTTGGGAGGAAAATGACAACTGCCAAAAGGAAGTGAAATTGGAGCGTTCTGTCAGAACCTGCAGACACAGAAGAGCCTGTCATTATTCTGCTGATGGAGCATCAGGTAAGATTACAGAAGGAAATATCACCAGTTGCCCTCTGGGCAGTCTTTATATTTGATGGACCAGAACTTCGTCACAGAATAATTCTTGTTTGCTGCCTCGCCCCTTTAAATTCAATTAAATATTTGGT